ACGCTAGGCACTTGTTCTTGATTTTTTGCACACGCTAGGCCCTTGCTCTTGCTATTTTGCACTCACTAGGCCCTTGTTCTTGCAAGCTTGCACACGCTAGGCCCTTGTTCTTGCAATTTTGCACACGCTAGGCCCTTGTTCTTTTTATTTTGCACACGCTAGGCCCTTGTTCTTTTTATTTTGCACACGCTATGCCCTTGTTCTTTTTAATTTGCACACGCTACGCCCTTGTTCTTTTTATTTTGCACATGCTAGGCCCTTGCTCTTGCAATTTTGCACATGCTAGACCCTTGTTCTTTTTATTTTGCACACGCTAGGCCCTTGTTCTTGCTATTTCGCGAACGCTAGGCCCTTGTTCTTGATTTTTTGCACACGCTAGGCCCTTGCTCTTGCTATTTTGCACTCGCTAGGCCCTTGTTCTTGCAATTTTGCACACGTTAGGCCTTTGTTCTTGCAATTTTGCACACGCTAGGTCCTTGTTCTTTTTATTTTGCACATGCTAGGCCCTTGTTCTTTTTATTTTGCACACGCTAGGCCCTTGTTCTTGCTATTTTGCACATGCTATGCCCTTGTTCTTTTTATTTTGCACACGCTAGGCCCTTGTTCTTGCAATTTTGCACATGCTAGACCCTTGTTCTTTTTATTTTGCACACGCTAGGCCCTTGTTCTTGCTATTTCGCGAACGCTAGGCCCTTGTTCTTGATTTCTTGCACATGCTAGGCCCTTGCTCTTGCTATTTCGCACTCGTTAGGCCCTTGTTCTTGCAATTTTGCACACGTTAGGCCCTTGTTCTTGCAATTTTGCACATGCTAGGCCCTTGTTCTTTTTATTTTGCACAAGCTAGGCCCTTGTTCTTGCTATCTTGCACACGCTATGCCCTTGTTCTTTTTATTTTGCTCACGCTAGGCCCTTGTTCTTGCAATTTTGCACATGCTAGACCCTTGTTCTTTTTATTTTGCACACGCTAGGCCCTTGTCCTTGCTATTTCGCGAACGCTAGGCCCTTGTTCTTGATTTTTTGCACATGCTAGGCCCTTGCTCTTGCTATTTTGCACTCGTTAGGCCCTTGTTCTTGCAATTTTGCACACGCTAGGCCCTTGTTCTTGCAATTTTGCACACGCTAGGCCCTTGTTCTTTTTATTTTGCACACGCTAGTTCCTTGCTCTTGCTATTTCGTGAACGCTAGGCCCTTGTTCTTGATTTTGTGCACATGCTAGGCCCTTGCTGTTGCTATTTTGCACTCGCTAGGCCCTTGTTCTTGCAATTTTGCACACGCTAGGCCCTTGTTCTTGCAAATTTGCACACGCTAGGCCCTTGTTCTTTCTATTTTGCACACGCTAGGCCCTTGTTCTTCTTATTTTGCACACGCCATGCCCTTGTTCTTTTTATTTTGCACACGCTAGGCCCTCGTTCTTGCAATTTTGCACATGCTAGACCCTTGTTCTTTTTATTTTGCACACGCTAGGCCCTTGTCCTTGCTATTTCGCGAACGCTAGGCACTTGTTTTTGATTTTTTGCACACGCTAGGCCCTTGCTCTTGCTATTTTGCACTCGCTAGGCCCTTGTTCTTGCAATTTTGCACACGCTAGGCCCTTGTTCTTTTTATTTTGCACACGCTAGGCCCTTGTTCTTTTTATTTTGCACACGCTATGTCCTTGTTCTTTTTATTTTGCACACGCTACGCCCTTGTTCTTTTTATTTTGCACTTGCTAGGCCCTTGCTTTTGCAATTTTGCACATGCTAGACCCTTGTTCTTTTTATTTTGCACACGCGAGGCCCTTGTTCTTGCTATTTCGCGAACGCTAGGCCCTTGTTCTTGATTTTTTGCACATGCTAGGCTCTTGCTCTTGCTATTTTGCACTCGCTAGGCCCTTGTTCTTGCAATTTTGCACACGCTAGGCCCTTGTTCTTGCAATTTTGCACACGCTAGGTCCTTGTTCTTTTTATTTTCCACACGCTAGGCCCTTGTTTTATTTATTTTGCACACGCTAGGCCCTTGTTCTTGCTATTTTGCACACGTTATGCGCTTGATCTCTTTATTTTGCACACGCTAGGCCCTTGTTCTTGCAATTTTGCACATGCTAGACCCTTGTTCCTTTTATTTTGCACACGCTAGGCCCTTGTTCTTGCTATTTCGTGAACGCTAGGCCCTTGTTCTTGATTTCTTGAACATGCTAGGCCCTTGCTCTTGCTATTTTGCACTCGTTAGGCCCTTGTTCTTGCAATTTTGCACACATTAGGCCCTTGTTCTTGCAATTTTGCACATGCTAGGCCCTTGTTCTTTTTATTTTGCACAAGCTAGGCCCTTGTTCTTGCTATCTTGCACACGCTATGCCCTTGTTCTTTTTATTTTGCTCACGCTAGGCCCTTGTTCTTGCAATTTTGCACATGCTAGACCCTTGTTCTTTTTATTTTGCACACGCTAGGCCCTTGTCCTTGCTATTTCGCGAACGCTAGGCCCTTGTTCTTGATTTTTTGCACATGCTAGGCCCTTGCTCTTGCTATTTTGCACTCGTTAGGCCCTTGTTCTTGCAATTTTGCACACGCTAGGCCCTTGTTCTTGCAATTTTGCACACGCTAGGCCCTTGTTCTTTTTATTTTGCACACGCTAGTTCCTTGCTCTTGCTATTTCGTGAACGCTAGGCCCTTGTTCTTGATTTTTTGCACATGCTAGGCCCTTGCTGTTGCTATTTTGCACTCGCTAGGCCCTTGTTCTTGCAATTTTGCACACGCTAGGCCCTTGTTCTTGCAAATTTGCACACGCTAGGCCCTTGTTCTTTCTATTTTGCACACGCTAGGCCCTTGTTCTTCTTATTTTGCACACGCCATGCCCTTGTTCTTTTTATTTTGCACACGCTAGGCCCTCGTTCTTGCAATTTTGCACATGCTAGACCCTTGTTCTTTTTATTTTGCACACGCTAGGCCCTTGTCCTTGCTATTTCGCGAACGCTAGGCACTTGTTTTTGATTTTTTGCACACGCTAGGCCCTTGCTCTTGCTATTTTGCACTCGCTAGGCCCTTGTTCTTGCAATTTTGCACACGCTAGGCCCTTGTTCTTTTTATTTTGCACACGCTAGGCCCTTGTTCTTTTTATTTTGCACACGCTATGTCCTTGTTCTTTTTATTTTGCACACGCTACGCCCTTGTTCTTTTTATTTTGCACTTGCTAGGCCCTTGCTTTTGCAATTTTGCACATGCTAGACCCTTGTTCTTTTTATTTTGCACACGCGAGGCCCTTGTTCTTGCTATTTCGCGAACGCTAGGCCCTTGTTCTTGATTTTTTGCACATGCTAGGCTCTTGCTCTTGCTATTTTGCACTCGCTAGGCCCTTGTTCTTGCAATTTTGCACACGCTAGGCCCTTGTTCTTGCAATTTTGCACACGCTAGGTCCTTGTTCTTTTTATTTTCCACACGCTAGGCCCTTGTTTTATTTATTTTGCACACGCTAGGCCCTTGTTCTTGCTATTTTGCACACGTTATGCGCTTGATCTTTTTATTTTGCACACGCTAGGCCCTTGTTCTTGCAATTTTGCACATGCTAGACCCTTGTTCCTTTTATTTTGCACACGCTAGGCCCTTGTTCTTGCTATTTCGTGAACGCTAGGCCCTTGTTCTTGATTTCTTGAACATGCTAGGCCCTTGCTCTTGCTATTTTGCACTCGTTAGGCCCTTGTTCTTGCAATTTTGCACACATTAGGCCCTTGTTCTTGCAATTTTGCACATGCTAGGCCCTTGTTCTTTTTATTTTGCACACGCTAGGCTCTTGCTCTTGCTATTTTGCGAACGCTAGGCCCTTGTTCTTGATTTTTTGCACACGCTAGGCCCTTGCTCTTGCTTTTTTGCACTCGCTAGGCCCTTGTTCTTGCAATTTTGCACACGCTAGGTGTCAGATTTATATGACATATTTGCTGTAGGCTATAGTGGGGTAGCACATATGGGGTACAGGGTTTCTAGGGTTGTATTTGTACCCAATCTTTCCTTAGTCATTCTCATTCCTGTTCATTCTTTTCACATGGTATAGAGCGGGTCCCTCCTAAGGACCGTTTTTTTTAAGGGCCCACCCACGATTTTTTTCCTGCCCGGAGCGCGCCCTATTCTCCCCGAGGCGCGCTCCCCCCTAGTGCTTGTCGCGCTGCCCTTGTGGCGCCCCGAGAGTCGCGCGCGCGACTCCTTTTTTTTTTCGCGCGCGCGGCCTGGGCCCCACGTCGCGCTGGCCTTACGGCCGCACCGCGCCGCCCTCTCGGCTCTGCCGCGCCGCGCCGCCCTCACGCCGGCCGCGCGGCCTCTTCGTCGCTGCAGCGGGCCCCGTCACCTGACGGCCCCGCCGTCCTACTCCCGGCCCCGCCGCTGCACCCTGCCGGCCCCGCCGCTGCACCTGTGTCGGCCCCGCCGCTGCACCCTAAAGGCCCCGCCGTCCCCTGTCACGGCCCTGCCGTCCCCTGTCACGGCCCCGCCGCTGCACCCTGACGGCCCCGCCACTGCACCAGTCGGCCCCGCCGCTGCACCCTGACAGCCCCGCCGTCCCCTGTCCCGGCCTCGCCGCTGCACCCTGCCGGCCCCGCCGCTGCACCCTGACGGCCCCCGCCGCTGCACCCTGACGGCCCCGCCGTCCCCTGTCCTGGCCCCGCTGCTGCACCCTGCCGGCCCCGCCGCTGCACCCTGACGGCCCCGCCGTCCCCTGTCCCGGCCCCGTCCTGCCGCCGAGCCGCCCGGGAGCCGAGCCGCCCTGCACCCGAGCCGCCCTGCCGCCGAGCAGCCCGGGAGCCGAGCCGCCCTGCACCCGAGCCGCCCTGCCGCCGAGCCGCCCGGGCGCCGAGCCGCCCTGCACCCGAGCCGCCCTGCCGCCGAGCCGCCCGGGAGCCGAGCCGCCCAGCAGCCGAATCGCTGAGTCGCCGAGCCGCCCTTCTGCAAAGTTTCCCGGCCTGCCCTGCCTGGTGAGCACAGTCGCACTGTCACTGCGTGCTCTTCCCCTACTGCTTGCACTGCTTCGCTGTCGTCGTCATGGCTACCCCTAGTGTCCTAGCTTTTGACGCTGAGGGTCGCGCCATTGATTTTGAGGTCTGGTTAGACGACCTGCAGCTGTTCTTACAGTGCGATAGGGCTGACGGCCTTTCTCTCTTTGACCTCACCTCTGGCGCCTCTCCTGCTCCTGGTGCTGATGCTGATCCCACTGTCCGCTCTCTGTGGGCCACTCGCGATGCTGCTGCACGTCTTGCTGTGCGTCGCCACCTCCCTACCTCTGAGCGTGCGCACTTTAGTCAGTACAAGAGTGCTCAGACCTTGTACGACGCTGTAGTTGCGCGCTACTCCTCCCCTGCCACTGCTGCACTGAGCCGTCTCATGCTTCCCTACCTCTTTCCTGACCTCTCTGCCTTTCCCACTGTCGCTGATCTCATTACGCACCTCCGCACTAGTGACACTCGCTACCCCGCCGCCCTTCCTGCTGAGTTCTGCGCTAAGAACCCACCCCCCATGTACATCGCTCTCTACTACGTAGTCGCGCGCCTCCCTGACTCCCTTCGCGTCGTCAGGGACCACTTTCTCGCAGTCTGTCCCACCACCCTCACCGTCGACCTCCTCGAGAAGGCCCTCCTTGCAGCGGAGAAGAGCATAGTCGCTGTAGGTGCTTCTCGTGGTGACCCTCGCACCCCCATCTTTGAGGGGTGCTCTCCTTCCCCCTTGCTGCCCTCTGTTGCCTCTGCTGCTGCTGCCGACCTGCTTGGTCTTGAGTCGGTCGGCGCGGCGTCTGCCCCTAGTGGGAGACGTCGCTCCAGCAAGGGCAAGGGGGGCAAGGGCGCGGGTGGAGCTGGAGGGGGCGGTGGTGGTGGCGGCGGTGGCGGCGGAGGGAGTGGGGGTGGCGGCGGGACTAGTGGCGGGGGTGGTGGTGGTGGTGGTGGCAGCAGCGGCGGAGACGGTGGTGGTGGTGCCAGCGGTGGTGGTGGAGGCAGCGGCGGAGGTGGAGGCGGCGGAGGTGGAGGCGGTGGAGGCGGCAGCGGAGGAGGCGGTGGTGGTGGAGGAGGTGGAGCTGGTCGGGGTGGTACCCAGCAGCGTAGCGGCGGCGGTGGTGGCCAGCGCTCGCAGCGGCAGCAGCAGCAGCGCTCGCGGGACATCCCTCCGCCTCAGCAGCTTCGTGAGTGGTACGCTGGGCGTCAGAGAGGTGGGGGTACTGGTCCCTGCACCTACGTTCTTCGTTCCGGTGACCGCGCGAGTGAGCAGTGTGGGGGTGCCCACACCACCCAGCGCTGCTTTGGCCACCTGACGGACGCTTGGCGTCAGCAGTTCCCTGGGGCTAGTGAGATCCCTCGCTGGGATGAGCTTCTTAGGGCTGGTGTAGCGATCTTTGATCTTGATTTTGATGCTATCCTTGCTGCTATGTATGCTGTGACTTATAGTGAGGAGAATGAGGGTTACCGGTGTTTCCAGCCCGACCCGGGCATTGGTACTGCTGCGCTAGGTGCTTGTGAGGCTGCTACTCTAGGTGCCAGTGCGTCTGCGCTCTCAGGTACTGGTGAGACTGCGCTCTCAGGTACTGCGTCGTCCTCGTCCTCCCTCACTTTCACACTTGACTCCGGGGCTTCTTTCGAGACCGCACTACCCTTACGCCGCTCGGCCGGCCGGTTGCAGTCTCCCTTGCTGACCCCTCTGGGGGTCCTGTCCTGTCTCACTTCTCCACTGTCCTCCCGTGTCCGGCTGCCCCTTCGGGCACCCTGTCTGGTCTGTACCTTCCCTCGTTCTCTACGAACTTGGTGAGTGGCGCGGACCTGCAGGATGTGGGGGTTCACCAGTTCACTCCTGCGAGTCAGCGGGTGACCCACTGCACGGAGGCACGCACAGGCCGACACCTGGCCACGTTCTCGCGTCGGCCGGGGTCGTGTCTCTACACCCTGACCGTTGAGTCTCCTCCTGTCCCTGCGTCTGGTCAGGTGGCTGCGTCAGGTCAGGTGCTTGCTGCTGCGTCCCGGTCAGGTCCTGAGTCTGCCCCCTGTTCTTGTCGCGTCCTGTCTCACGAGACTCTCCTGTGGCACCACCGTCTTGGCCACCCCTCCTTGCCCCGTCTTCGGAGCATGGCTTCCCGTGTCCTTGTCTCTGGTCTTCCCCAGTCTCTCCCTCCTCTCCCCTCCGGGCCAGGACCTTCCTGTGTCCCCTGTGTCGAGGGTCGCCTCCGGGCTACTCCTCACCCCTCCCACTTCCCCCCGACAGAGGCTCCCCTGCAGACGCTTCACATGGATGTGTGGGGCACAGCCCCCGTCCGTGGGCAGGGCCATGAGCGCTACTTCCTGTTGGTGGTTGACGACTACTCGCATTACACCACAGTCCTCCCCTTGCGCAGCAAGGGTGCGGTCACTGAGGTGCTGATCGACTGGATCCGCGAGGCTCGTCTCCAGCTCAGGAAGAGCTTCGGCTCTGACTTCCCTGTTCTGCGTCTGCACTCGGACAGAGGCGGAGAGTTCTCTTCTCGCCTTCTGCGAGACTACTGTCGTGCACGGGGGATCCGCCAGACCTTCACGCTTCCGGACTCACCACAGCAAAATGGGATTGCTGAGCGCCGCATTGGCATGGTCATGGATGTCGCTCGTACGTCCATGATGCATGCGGCTGCCCCCCATTTTCTGTGGCCGTTTGCGGTGAGGTACGCGGCGCATCAGCTCAACCTTCACCCCCGGGTCTCTCGGCCTGCGATGTCCCCAGCCTTGCTGTGGACGGGGAAGGTTGGCGATGCGTCTGTGTTCCGTGTCTGGGGATCTCGGGCGTTTGTCCGGGACTTGTCTGCGGACAAGCTGTCCCCTCGTGCCGCTCCCTGTGTCTTCCTTGGCTTCCCGACTGACGCCCCAGGGTGGCAGTTTTACCACCCCTCCTCTCGTCGTGTTCTGTCCTCCCAGGACGTCACGTTTGACGAGTCAGTCCCCTTCTACCCGTCTCTTCCT